TTACAGGTAAACACCCAAAAAGAAAATAGGAGAAAATAATCTTTGATTGTAGCGTTAGTGATGCATACCTGCATCTTTGAGCTTCACCATTTGTAAAATCTGGGATCTCTATCCACTTTCTATGCCTCCTCGGTTGGGGATCATCTTCAACAAAAAAATTTGGTGGATTTTCCAGCTGCAAAAATAACAACTACAATCAAAAAGTTCACTGAAATAATTGCATGCTTATCAACCAAACAGATAAGTACCTCAACATTGAGAATGCTAGGATGCCCTTCAGAACATGTGGCTCTAAGTGCAGATACATCTTTCCATCGCATCTCTATTTTTTTCGTCAGGCCGCCTTCATGTATCTCCCACGCAAGTAACTTCATTCTAAAGAAAAACTTGACAACTAGATCGTCATCCTTGTCTGTGGTTCTCTTCACATATTAAATACAATTTTGTTAGAGACTCAGGATTTTCGGTATTTTACATTAAATTAAGATATTTGGTCGTAATATATCAAGCTACCTGCCAATTGCCAATCTGAATTTTTCTTGCAGGTAAATTAGAAACCTTGTACTTCTCTGAATCTGGCTGATGTAGATACATTCTTATTCTTTTGTATCTCGCATTTTCCTCTTTTTGTAGGGCTTTTTCGACTCTATTCACCAAATCGTCAGTTTTATTTAAAATCAAAACTGGAGGCATCTCCTTAGAGTTTTCCCCCTGTAAAAGGATATACAATGATAATGAGCTAACTTCATCTTGACATATATTGAAAATGATCTAAGAATAAAAAGAAAACAGATAATATAAATTGATGATCATGTAAACATGAATAAAAATTAAAAGAAAGTTGTTGATTAGAATTTAGCACTGTGTGTGATCAAGTAAACTCGTCAAGATCATATGAATCTCGACAATGATGTAAATGGGTACTCCAATACTTTATTCATTTTGTATTTTATCTTTTTGATGAAATAAAAACTCGCACCCTTTTGTTAAGGCAAACAAAGAAGACTGCAGAACATATAATAGTATTGATCCCAGAAGTCAGTATGATTTCCATTAACGACCCATAGAAACAATCTAAAGCACTTAATCACATTGACTCAAACGAACAAAACTAAGTTTTTCTTTAAGGTGTAGTTCTGCCAAGAGTTAAAAATTTTCAAGTGAGCATTTACTGCTCCCTGTGATCAAGTAGACGCTATGAACTCGTACAAGATCATACAAATATCCATGAAAATGTAAATGGGTACTCCCCAGTTTTATTCATTTTATTTTTATTCTTATCATTTTGATGAAATAATCACTAAAACCCTTTTGTTAGCATAAAACTACGATGGGTTTGATCAAAGAAGCAACAAGAACCAATTTTTCATTTTCAACTGCAAAAAATTATCAAGAACTCAATGAGATTTCTATCCAAGGTCCATGAACTAAAACCCTTGGACCACACAGAGGTGAACAAAATAAAGCGACTCTGTCACTAAAGAAATCCCAGAAAAATTAAGAAATTGAACCTTTCTCCTCTTAGATTTCTCTCCCCTTTGAGGCGCAGCTCTTTCGTGGGGATTCTGACCAAAGTCCATCGCTGCACCAAAAGATCCGCGGTCAGAATCATGCACACAAGCATAGGATTTGAAAGAGAAATCTCTCTTGGTATCCTTCTTTTTAAAGAATTCTGTTATATTTATAGATGCGAGGGAGCAATTTAAAGAGTTTTTAGTTAGGAGAATTTTTTGAAAGGAGAAACTTTTTAAAAAGACCGTTTTAAAAATATAATTAGCAAATTCAATCATTTGAGCAAAATCCACCTCTCTTTTTTGCCGCGTCATCAGGACGGGCCAAAAAAGGAACAAATTTTCAAAACGGTCTCAAAAAGATTTTTATTTTTCAAAATCGACCTGATTTTTTTTATTTATCAAAATCGACCCACTTTTTGCCACGTGGGCTTAATGAAGTTCCTAAACAGTCGGGGTTGGCAACCCCGACTATTTAGGAGGGTGTTAAACCCCAATTAGAACCTTTAAACCCGAAATTTTCATGTTCTAAACAGTCAGGGTTGGCAACCCCGACTGTTTAGGAACGTCATTAAGCTCACGTGACAAAAAGTGGATCGATTTTGATAAATAAATAAAAAATGAGTCGATTTTGAAAAATAAAAAACTTTTGGGGGTTGTTTTGAAAAATTCCTCGGCCAAAAAGTGGTCGAGTTAGAAAAAAACATCTTTAGAATAATACACGGTGGTCGAAGGTCGAGGGAGCCTCGACAGCAATAGCGGTGGTCGAGGCGTTGTTCGAGGGAGCCTCGAGGGCGACGACGTAAGGGGCGGCGGTCGAAGGCGGCGGTCGAAGGCGGGCGACGACGTAAAGTCTCTCCTCCAGCTAAAATCTCTCTTGGCTACCTTTTTTGTTCTTTTTAATGATTTCTGTTAGGAGAACTTTTTTGAAATAAACTCCTTTTGAATATTTATTAGCAAAATCGACCCTTTTGACATAAAATTAGCAAAATCGATCATTTTTTGTCCACGTTGCAGGCCAAAAAATGGTCGATTTTGCAAAAAAAAAAACATCAATAACATGAAGTTGGCAGCACAATGCACATCTGATTTATTTTAAAAACTAATTTATTTATAAACCCAACGTTTTACTTTGATTTAGTTTTAAACCACCCACTTCTGAAATTTTTCATAAGCCCAGAATACACATCTGATTTATTTTAAAACCTAATTTTATATTTTAGCAGACATAGGCATGGTAATTTACAAAAACCAAAAAGTGCCCGCGTCCTCTCAATTCTCATCTACTTCTCAAAATCAGTCTAACGTGTCACATGATAAGCATGTTGCTAGTCAAGAAGCCAATACCCCTCAATACTTACAAAATAATTCTTTTATTCTTCTACATTATTTCTTTTATTTTTTTAAGGCCCGAGTGGTATTTTCTTGTTTTTTCATTTCGTCATGTATTGGGTGCATGACAAATTAGATTTGAGGGTGTTAATTAGGGGGTTAAAGTGAACAGCTTCTAATGTGCTTGGTGGAAATAGAATGAGTTCAAGGGGATATGTGAAAACCTCTCAAAATTAGGGTGTTGTGCATATTAACGTAGTTTAAAGGGGTAATCTTAGGAAATGGCCAAAATTAAGGGTTTTTTTTTTAAATTACAATCTACCCATATCAAATAAGACGTCTTTTAGGTAGCAATATTAAAAAAAAAAGAGAGGATATGTTTATAGCGTACAAAGATAACGTTGATAGTTATATATAAAATTTTAAAACAAATTGTTATATATGCTCTAGAATCTAGATAGAAATGAACAGTGATGGTTTGAAAATCAATATCTCAAGAATAGCAAACTAAAAACTGAGAGGAAACCAAAATTCTCATCTCCTCCTTGTCCCGTTAAAAAAAATAAATCATAAAGACAAATCTCAAAGTAAAATAAATAAATAAATAAATAAATGTAAAATATTAGACGCCTCAGCAGAAGCTTACAAAGCATTTATCTACTGTGCATATGTCAGCAACATACAGACATCAAATAAAGAGTAACCAAAACTCAATGAAAGAATCATGCATGGTTTACTTAAGATGTATTTAACTTTTCC